TATATATATATATATATATATATATATATATATATGTATGTATATAAAATATTAAACTTTTTTAATAACGGTGACGCGCAATAACAAATTACAAAATTAGTAACGATAATGGCAACGAGTTGTTTTTTGGAATCGATAACGAATAATGATAACTAGTTATTTAAAAAAAAAATATAAAAAAGTATATATATATATATACTTTTATTTTAATATTACTAAGTATTACTTTTTAAGTTAAATACTTTTTATTGGTGTATTTGAGATGTGCATATAAAGTAACAATTAAAGAAACTGTTTAATTCGTCAGCGCGTTACTCGAAGAATATAACTGCGTCACTGTTACAGTTAAATCAAAAAGAAAAAAAAAGAAAATAACAGTTATCAAGTCGTTGATAGCTTAAAAAGTAGCTTATATCGCGCGCGGTAACGAGTTGCTTGTAACGCGTTACTTCCCAATCTTGCAGGCTACAAAGTGAGTGCCTTGTAAGCTCTCATACAAAGAGATTCTTCGACTTGCGAGCAAGTCTGCACTCACGTGTCAGATATCCGTAGGCTTGCGCGGCGTAACACGCGGCTTGTTCGTTCCGGAAGCCCAGATACTCCATGCCGGCGGCTTGCATGCACATAGCTAGCTCGATCACGGGGTGACCCATGATGCCAAAGACGTAGTTCAAGCCCTGCGGAACAGTATTCATGACGTGAGCAAGAGTGTGTGAGATAACAGAATACGGTTACCGCGACTCGGCCAGTCCGTGCTGACCCGACTTTGATTTATTTGCTTTTCTCTCTTTTGCATCTTGCTCTTATTCAAGTGTTTCTGATCAGTACGTCCTCGTGTTTATCAGTACGCCGACGGCACACTGGTCGTCGCCCTCGCACGGGAAACTCCCGGTATTCATTTCGCGGTGTTTTTCGCGACGACTATAAAATTCAGTGAGAGATTGACCACTGCATCCGACATGCATCAGGAGAACAACGAGCGTACACCATTAATTATACCGCCAAGGAAACGTAAGTATAATTGATAATGATAAAAGGGCAACTTTAAACGCACGCGCGCCGATGATTGCGTGATGCGTATGTGTATGTATGTATATGTCTATGTCGCTGATTACATTGTGCTGATAAAGTTCGTTATAATATCGGTCGACTTGTTTATTCAACAGTCATTATCAAACGATAGTGTTTGACCGATTCGAAGGCATCTCAGGTACAAAAAATATTAGAAGAAGCATATCTGTCTTCCTCCCCCTTTCCTCTCTCCCTCTTTCATTCCTTCTCCCTATCTCTTTCTTTCTCTCTTTCTCTCTTTCTCTCTCTCTCTCTCTCTCTCCCCTTCTCTCTCTTTCCTTCTCCCTCTTTTTCTCACTCTTCACAAGAAGAAAATATTGTAGTAAAAAATGTAACGAAATGTAGTCCATACGGAGATGATAACCGAAGTTACGACATATTTGTTTAGAAATATATTTGACGTTTGACCCTATTTGACCTTTTACTTTACAAAATTACTGAATGTTTTTTTTTATTATTTTTAATTATTTATAATTATTTATAAGTTATTATAATTATTGAATATTTTTTATATCGCGTATGTTTAAGTAGATTGTCTAATTTACTATTTCTACAATTATTTATACCATAATGTTAGTACAGTCTAGCTTTACAAAAAACAATGAAATATAATCTTAACATAATTTTTATTATTTTTTTATTTCAATATTTTATTCGTGTATTTTATTGGGTCACTGCAGAAAGAGAAGATTCGTCGTTTCTCTATAAAATCATGATTTGTAAAAGTTACCGCTCTGGACAGTAAAAAGATTTTTCTTTCTTATAACACCTAATATATATTAATATTGCGAATTATCCAATCAAGGACATTAAATTATATTTGTGGTATAAAAAAATAGGAAGGAGAAACAATTACATCGTTGTTTATAAAGACTATTGAAATATATACAGATTAGATAATTTTCTGTTTAACTGTATTTGACGACGAACCTTTTGTACCAACTCATTAACATTAAGAAGGTTTGAGTAAGTTAACATATTTTTTAAACCAAGTTAAGTTTAAAGTTAAGAGTCCTTAAATTAATTTAGTTTATGTTAAAAGATACATAAACAAAAATTAACTTAATTAAAAGTTAAGTTCAAATCAAATTAACTTATTAAAGTTACAATTATGCAGATATATTTTTTTTGCATAATTTTATATATATATATATTAATTACAAAATTTTATATATATATAATTTTTTAATTGAAAATTAAATTTATAGGAATTATTAATGAAAAAATAGTCTTTGATTATACACACTTACAAACACAATATACAAACACAATATACAAGATAATCGATATAAATAAATATATATATATATA